ACATGAAAGCCACACACACTGAGCTCAAACTCGTGAAGACTTTTACGAGCATACACACAATACGCCCAATACCGAACAGGTCACAGACGAACTGGGAGTTAGCACACGTTGCAAGTTCTGACCCTACACCAACGGTTGAATGATCCCCGGAATGACGCTCTGTTACCAAAATGTTTGCGCAAGAAAAAAATGCTGGGATGGCAATTGTCGTAAGTAGGAATCAAAATCAGCAGGTAATTAAGTTATCACTTTGCTTAAAACTATGTACAAATTTATCAACAACAAAAAAATTGATCATAAGTGCTCGCTGTGAGAGTGGCGTTTTCAACAGCGGCCATGAGCTGACTGATTGCTGCGCAGAACAATTAAATTTGAATGTATCAAGCATTTTGGGCTCGTACTTTGAAATAAATACTAGAGTGAAAATAGCTAGTGATTAGGGAAAGATAAACATAAGCTTAATACAGGGAAAAGTCTTTCTTTTGATTTTGCACGTAAAGAGATAGAGAGACAGTAGAGATAAGAAAAGCGTTACTATTGTGAGAGAATATTAACGTAAATACAGCGCAATGAATATAACGTTATAACTAAACTACGTATGTCTACGAGGAATATCATACAAAATTTTGACAGCTACATGTACTTAATGAAAAATTTGAGAGATTAGCATTTTTAACTATTAGGATTTTAATATAGTTTTCATGATGATGTATTAAAAGTATGTCGTTAGAACTTATTTTACGTAATTTTAAAGAATAAAGCAATTTAATCAGGATCCAAGTTACATACAAACTTCTTGTTGAGTCTTATTAATTGTTCCTAATGACAGAAATTTATAATAAATAATTGTTTTGTCTTTTCTTATTATGGTGTTAAATTAATAGTAAATGACACGAACATTTTACTTCATATATTCTGATATGAACAAAATAATAAATAAACTAAAAGAAATTAGTATGATATAATAAAATATCATGTGCATATTTCAGCGTTGCAACAAACGAAGATATGCTTCATCGTCTACTTTTACATTCTTATCCCTTGTTATGATTAACTCAAAATAAAAAAAAAGATTTAACTAGTCAAATGCTATCTTTATTGATTAATAAGATGAATGAAATAAAGAACTTCTCAGATAAAAAATGATATTCAAGAATTTTTAGATAACTGATAGTGAGATTCTTTAAATTTTGAAAAATTTGTCATGCAGAAAAGTTGTAAAAGTATGTACGAATGATATAGTAATTGTTTGTACGGCAATAAATATTTCAACCATTTTTTACTATGCATTACTGGTTTTTCAAATAGGTTTTTTTTAAAAATCAACTGTTTTATTCCATTTATAAATCAAATAGCAGTATTACGAAAATAATGGTAGTATTATAAAATATACACAAATGCAATACTAGTATTGGTGTTATGTCCGAACTTCTATAAGTGAAGGGCGGACCTCGTAGATTTGTTCTACAAACAAATAAATTTAATTTTTGTTCGTCAGGGACCAGCCATTGGCCCAAAGGCCTTATTTTCTTTTACTTACAGTATACTTCTCTTCGAAATCGTTGACTCGGCGTTGTGGTGTTAAAACTGTGACATATATGGTGTACGCTGAGCTGGGCAACAAGGTAGGCATACTGTTATATTAATGAAATGTTTTATGTAATTTGGTCATAAGAATATTTTTTAATTAAAAAATTAAATTTTATTAACAAGCCAGTTGTCTTATATGATGATGAATAGACTTAAAAAAGCCGAAAATAGTTGATTTCACAAGTAATATAAATTATAAAGTTTTAGATTCGCATTTGCAATGTATATACAATTTATAGTTTTACTACACTTAACTTATTTCTATGATCGTTGATTAGCCACTGCTTGCGCCCACGCAGTCAAAGGATCTTACAAGGTTGACCGCAATAATGATCCTAATCCTACATGAAAGTACTCGTGGCGACGACAATATTTAGGCTGCTGCTTTTAACATGGGAACCGAAGTCAACGGTCCTTTCTTTCTTGTTCCTCCTTGATTCACTTTTTAGGTGAGTTTATAGTGGCCTGGTTTGCTCGATCTTTTCTTACACAGCTTAGTCACCACACTGAGTTTTACATTTGCTTGAAATGCATGCTTTTAATACGTAGCTTAATCACGGAACTAAGTCTTACATCCACTTAAAAGACGCAACAGAACTATGTCTTATATCCGCTTAAAAGACGCAACAGAACTTATTTTCCAACCCTTATAGTTACTTTGGAGCACTTGATGGAAGAGAAAAAGCCAACACTGTTATGTGTGAGGAGTATTTACACTCCTGCGTTTATGGAGGACGCGTCAAGTTGGGGGTCCGAACGACCAATCAGACCTTTCCAATTACCCTCAACTGACACGAGCACAGTCGTGGTGCAATAATTTCACAGCAATTGATGGTTAAAACTGCTGATCTCTCGGATTTTAAATCAAGTACAAGTTGCTGTCAAAATTGTGTACGATATGTCTTGTGTACATCCGCAGTGAAGAATTTTAAAATTGTTGATTAATCACATTATTTGGTGCTGTAATGCGAATTGATTTTGTAAGATGAGCATTTCATAAGATTGTTTGAGGTTGCACGCGTAGTTAGAGTTTTGCGATGGTTCGAGATCGCTGAGCTTTTGCTTTTTATAATTTAATTTAAAAATGAAACTTTCTGTTTTAAAGGGATCAATATTAAGTACATGACAGGGGATGTTACATTGGATTGTGAGATATTACAAGTTATTCTTATTATTTATCATTTACTGTTCAATAACTTCAACTCAAATAATTATTGACTTGTTACCAACAATTAGTAAGTAAATTGTTTGTTTCAATACAATGGCTGATGTTAAAGGATCCAACAGAAAAAACTGTGTAAAAGTTATATATATACGTCGAATTCTTGATAAGCAAGCATGAAAACCATAAACAAAAGTATACTGCTGCCTTACTTAACATTTTTGACGTAATATTTGTTTAAGGTACTCTGTGAAGCAATTGGTTTTGGCGAAATAAACGTAAGATTTTTAAGCAACAACAACAAACATCGTCAATTATGAATACTATTTTATTCAACATTTTGGACTCGGTATTAGTCTTAAAAAATTGTTTAAAATATTGATTTTTAAAAACAAAGAACAGATTCGCTTCGATCGAGAAAGAGGAAAAAAAAAAAAAAAAAAACGAGAAGAGAGAAAAAAAGGGCCGATTACCTGTAACTATTATCAAAGGAACATGGGCAAGGCTGAAACTAATGAGAGACGCATGAGTTATTATATAAACTCTTTCTTTATTACTTCCTAATCTCCTCTATTTTCCATACACACGAACAGACAAATTAGCACTAGGGCTGTTAGACAGAGACTGACTGAGTGCGCACAGGCATAGCACATCTAGGCAAGTATCCATATATATATGCTTAAATAGTAAAAAAATATAGAAACACATACATACAGAAATTAACACGAAATATATGAACATTCTAAGATTATAATCTTACGTTTATAGATTTATAGATAATTGATAAATAACACTTATGCATCGAAGAAGCAGGTGGCATAGAAAAAATTTATTTCTAAGTCTTGGAAGAACTATTGTATTTTATATAAAGAGAATAGTTAATTTAATCAATAATTTAATAATTGATATTATGTATAACCATCTAATTAATTAATGAACAGTAAATGAACATCAAAATAAGAGATAAGTTACGAACCATACTAGAACAAGGAGAAAAAAATAGTTTACAGTAGGGGTCACTTGTAGCAGAGTGGATAACTTAGCTAGTGTGCCGAAGATCACTGGTTGGATTCGTAAAATCGGTGAGATAAAATAAAAAATTTCTTTTCAGTTATGTATTTTCTTAAGGTCATCAACCTTATATCGTCAGTTTAAAAACTCCTTAATTCTAATTTTACAAATGTATCTATTTTATATATTAAATGGAAAAGCTTTTCGTTCAAGTCAGAGTAATGGAGGGTTGACATACACAGCGCACTAGTTGATATATTTAGTATATACATACTTTTTCATGCAAATGTTCGAAAGTATTTAGTTTTAAGTAATAATATATTAGATAAGTATAAAACATTAAATCTCTGCAGATGACAACCTATGAATAAATTATAGAAGTATAAGAATCCTTTAAAGTATGAATGAATGAATGTAGCACAGTCTCTAGAGTAGTGTTTTGTAAGGTAAGATATATTTCCGTTTATATACTGTCTGCTATAGAAGTAGCACTTTATACTTGGGTACCCAAACGCCAACTGACCATTGGTTTTGGTCCGTTTAGTATACAAGGCTTAAACCTAAAACATAAGAAAAATTATGGGTCCAGGAGAATACGTATGTAAAGTAACAATAAGCGCAATTCTACCACTATCACCATATAAAGAAGAGGTTAAATACCATAAATCTGAAAAACAAAGAATCAAGCTTTTTGGTATTCATACACAATTATTTAGTATAACAGGTGTTTTCATTTTTGTCTCAAATAATGCCATTCTAGATAAGTTATACTGCTTATGAATACAGAGGTTATGTGTTTGAAGTATATTCACCACAAAGTGTAACGTTACATAATTTACGTAAGAAAATAATAAACGACCTTCATTTTTTTATCGGCGTAATGGGATGAATAAAATTTTTAACTGAAAGTTAATCATTACTCAATTTAAGAGTGCTACAGCTTCAAGAGAGACACAATTTAATTATTAAAAAATAATGTACCAGTTCTCTTATTAATCAACATACAAATTTTCTTTCTATACTAAACCAATTATCGTAAAGTAAATGAACTTAGCAACACATGATTTGGTGATTTGAACATGACTGTATTGATACAGTCATGCTCAAATCACAAAGCCCTGTGTTGCTAAATTTATTTCATTTTTCAACTTTTTGCTCGATGTTTCTCTTGAGAGATATATTTTACTAACCTATGTATTTAATTACTAAAATTGTTAAAATTGATTTTATTTTAAAGAGACCGGAAATTTGCCGGGGTCGCAAAGTGCTGGAGCTTGGGGGTGGCATGAGCTGCCTAGCGGGTGTACTAGCAGCCAAGTACTGTGGTCCAAGTTCAGTTATGCTAACTGATGGTAACGGGACAAGCGTAGACAACATCAGATGTATCATTGAAAGAAATGGCATGACCGATCTCGTCAAATGTTGCATCATTCGATGGTCCAAGACCCCCAAGACATTACTATGGAACAACAATTTCAGCAATAAAAATTGCTTGAATCAGGTATAATCTAATAAAATCTACTCCTTTCCGGTAATAAAAATAAAATATTAGATTTTAGCTCTATGAAAAAAGACATTAGAAGGGACTTATAATATCTACTACTTTATTCAGTAATTAATTCTCAAATCAAACTTACACCACATTTATAAAATAATAGTTTTTTTGAGAAAAGTTGTTGGCAATCATATGGTCATTTCAGTCATATGGTCATTCTGTATGCATACGAAATTCTAAAAAAAATTAATAATGCACTGCACATTAGTATTGAGTTAGAGACTGACGTAAGAAACTGTTTTTTGGCTTCCCATGGGTCTCCAATATTCAACATTAACCGTTAAAGCACTCCCGTAACCCTAGTGGCATTCTTGGCTGCTCTTTTGATGTGCTCTCAGAAGGTGAGCTAAACGTTGACCCTTACTTCAAAGTAACACACCACCAGGTTCACGCAGATGGTCATTGATGGTTAATTTATTTACATAATGATTGGTAAACGCCCCCAGTTACATGGTAATTAGCTTTCTTGTTATAAATTGATGTTTTACGTAACTATAAGGCCACTAGCTAGAATTGTGGATTACCTGATGACTAGCACTTGCATTACCTATTATTGCCTTATGAATTCATAAAGTGGCCAGCAAGAGCCCGAGGATACTGGGCACCTGGAGCTGGTGTCATTTATTAGGTTTCTCCAGTTATCTTGATATCAGCACTTTTATTGTTAATTAACCTTTTACTTAATTATAAAGTTAACAGCTAGCAACACCCTCAGTCCCGTAATAATTGAAGGTAATTGGCATTTATGTTGTTTATTTATTCTTTACTCACTAAAAAAGTGACCAGTAATTGCCTCTACTTACGTAGCAAAAAACAATTGAGTTACGTTTGATTGCTTTATTAAATCATAAAGTGTCTAGTAAAAGTCCTAGGATACCAGATAACTGGCACTTATGTTATTTATTATTGCTTTCTGAACTAAATAAATGGATAATAAGCACTTGAGTTTACTTGGTGATTAGCTTTTTTTTCTGGTTAATTTACGATTTAATTCATTATAAAGACACCAATTAGCACCCTGGATTATTTGATGATTGGCACTTGTGTTATTTATTAATGCTCTATGTACTATAATGACGTAATCAATTAGCTTCTCGGGTTACCTGATAGTTGGGGCTTATATTTTTACTTAGTACATTACTTTATAAGAAGTGGCCAGTAAGCGCCTAGGTTACCAAGTGATTGGCAGTTATGTTGTTAGTTTGTGTTTTACTTATTAATAAAGTAGCCCGTAATACCTTTAGATAACCTATTAAATTTTCATTTGTATTGTTAATTTATGCTTTACTTACTATTACAGTGGGTAGTAAGCGCTTCAGATGCAAAATTAGAAATGGAAAGCACAAAAAACGATGTAGCAGTAAAACCATGAAAATACTTGATTCAAGAGTTCATCAAAAACTAAATTGTGGTGAAAGACTAGCAAGTTTATTCCAAGATTTTTTGTCGTATGGAATTCGCGTCTTATAATTATAACTATTTTTTAATCTTTCCTAATTTCTGGCATTTTTTTCTAGGCCTCCTTTTATTTATAAATATGGTAATAAGTCATTTTCCATTGCTCACTCTCCTGCTAGTCGGTTTGCTCTGCACTCTTTCCTTTCATTAGTAATGCGATCTATCAGCTGTTAATAGAATACGTATACTTTTTTTTACCTAGATACACTTTTTATCCTTTTTTTGCACTTTCAGAGACTACTTTAGCCAACTTGAGGACAAAAATCACCATTTTATTTGTAGTCACAATATCCCTAACCCAAACGGCCTGATAGCAAACATCAGAAACAGATCGCTGAAACAGGTTAAAACACGTTTTAGCTGATACTTATGGTACCTTTAAAACTCTAAATCAGACCCCCATGGTCATGGTCTAATTTTAGCCTAGCTGTATCTTGAAAATCGCTTCTAAGTAAACAGCCTCAATTTTTTTTAACAGCAAACACGAAGTATGAGTTTTTTTAGTTATTGTCTACAAATTTATATACGTGTATGCATGCCACGATTGTAGTATGAAACTGACACATGTATCAACTACGAGCACATATATCAATACTCAAATGAATTGTATACATATATACATATATATACATATATATATATATATATATATAAATATATGTTTATGTAGATAAGATTTTATAACAATCATACTGCTGACCTCTGCTTTTCCAATACTCAATAAAAAGGTAATGCAAATTATCCATTACCTGTTATAAGAAGTTTTATTTGTTATAAACGTATTCACGGCTGACAAAGCAGACTTTACTATCCATTTTAATTGTATACTCTCCTTTTGTAGCTAGTGTTCTTTTAGGATACAATTTTTTTGAAGCCACGTTGATCGNAAATTTTGCACACTGATTCATGATACTTCCTACATAATTTTAGTATAGTTTTTATCTTAAAAAAATTAATAACAATAGTCATAAATAAACTCAAAATTTTTTAAAAAACGCTAGCTTTTTACTTCAACTCAGTAAGATCTGCTAGGTCGCGTAAAAAAAATCGAAGCTATTTGCAAGAGAATTTAGTAAATCTCGTTATTACATCCCCGATCAAGTTGCCTAACACCACAGTCGTTCGTCAGCAGTGCATAAAGCGTAGAGCTGGAAGTCGTGCAGCTGAGTATCCTGGCTACCAACGACATTGGACTCTAATGGACAAGCAACTTACGTCGAACTCCATCCCGGACCACCAGGATTAAGGAGTGCCACCAATAAAAAGACTTTCTCGCCACTATTATCTCATGCGTAATATCAGGTGACATCTATATAGAGCATAATCTGCTCTAGTAATTCTTCTAGCCAACCTGGTGCTACTAGAACAGATTTTGCTACAACATCAAGGCTCAGACAACAACCCTGAGGAGCTCGGGCAGCCACAACGGTCACCTCCTTAATGGTTCATCCCAACGGTATATCTTCAGAGAAGGTATTTTCCAGGTCCACTTTTCCAACTTATGATGAGCGGTAAGTTATCCGAGGAATGACCCAAAACAAGATATTCTTCGGTTAGCAGCGTATCTCCCTCCAGCACAGTCTGGGTACGCAGAGACTTGGGGAATAACAGTTAAACTACCTGCAGCTGGCTCTCCATCATTAAAAATAATAATAATGAATGGCTCGAAGTTTCACCACCGGCCCTTTTCAGGGTCATAATAAGTATTGACGTTCCCTAATTAACCAACAATCTTATCGGTTCTTTTTAGGGCTATTAATTATTAAACTACCTCACCAACAAATACATTTTTACTACTATTTCCAGCAACGATTTGTTGACTAAAGGACTATACAAAGCCGGCCACTATTAGACCAGATCAGTCATTCACTGGCAGACGTCACGAGAGGAGTTGTTCATCACAAGACTGAGAACCCTGGCGACTAACGACCCCACATTTCTCTCTCAACTTTAAGCATTTAACCAGGAATTACCGATCCTCCCCAAGGTTTGTGCTGGGCGAACCTAACAGCTATGATGGAAAAACAAATTTGAGCAAACGGAACAGTCTCCAACGGACAAGCATCATGAATCTATCTCCCCACCTTAGATTACCAAAACAACATAACGACTGAGCTCTGCAAAAAAAGTGCTATAAACATCAACATCTCTGACGTAAAACCAGGAGACGTAGCTTTACAACTAGCTACAACACTTCAGATGTTGTAGTTTTTTTCCAATTAGTGTACTACTACAACAGCAGGCTAGAGAAAATCATCTTGAGGTACCAAGGCAGTCACGTTCACTGAAAGCTTCAGTCAAAAAAGAGTTTATTTCGCCGCTCTTTTTTAGGGCGATCAGACGTCGAACTATTTTGCCAACAAATATATTACAACTTAACAAAGTTGACAAACAACCACCCTTAGGGTTCACAAAAATCTTAACAATGCCTATACTCGCAAGAGGGTGAATTGGAAGGAAAACTCCAAATGCTTTAAATGAATACAATTTTAAGCATCAAGAAACCGACGTAGAACATTTATTGAGTTCAAAATGGCAGCGTCAAAATCGACGAATAAGGAATCTATTAAGTGAGAGATTAGCTTTTCACTACATAACACTGACAATTATCACTTTAATTTTTTAGCTTTTAAAATAGGTAGAATAGTTATTTGTACTCATTGTGGTGAGAAATAAGACTTCAAAACTTTTTTGCTCTGTAATAATATTTTTGGATTGAAAAAAAAAATTACTTAATGACATTTTTTGGCAGTTTCAAATCTTAACGATTTAACAAATAGCTCTTTTCATTTATTGTAACGTAAAAAAGTGCAAATCAATGGTCCTTTAGGGCTAACAATTATTTTATAACTTAAGGAACTCACGGTAGCTTTCAGCATCATTTAAATTTATTTTTATTTTTAACAGCTTATTATTTGACCAAATAAACTGCATGAATTCCAAACAAAAATGCTTCAAATAAGTAGTTTTTTATTCCAAGAAGTGTCAAGAATACATGTAAAACTTTTAACTGAAAACGTTTAAACATCTTTCTACTTGTGACTGTTGGTCCACTGTTTTTTTAGATTATGTAATATCGAAGTTTGAGAAAAAGGACCTTACATTATAAGCCTTAATGAGTATGGCCATTTTTTTCTATTTTTTTTGTCAAAAATTAGCGTGAAGTCAGATTTTTATACAAAAAAAAAAAAAAAAACACCGTTTATTGATACTGTTGTATCAGTTGTCTCAATTAGACCGTACTTGATATAGTTGACAGCAGCTTATTATTCTTTCGGATTGTATCTTGCGTGTAGTACTCTTGGTTCTTCTTTTTCTCCCTCTGATTGTCGTTTTGCAAAATACTTCGTTATTACTGTTAGATTCTATGCTACTTAGTGGCCCCAGGACACTTCTGAACCGGAATTTATTTATGTTGTTTTTTTGCATTTTGCTATTTTGCAAGCTTTGGTCCCTTGTATTTTTCATACTTCAGCTTTGATTTAAGA